AAAATATCATTCAGGCAAATATTTAAGTGATAGCAAGCTTGAGTGATTTCATTCCCAGGAGTGTCTTCATTTTAAAAAGGAGTACCCAGAATCAGGATTGCCTTAACCTATAGACAAAGGTTAATTATAAATGTGGAACACCATGGAGCTTCAGGATGGGGGCTCTTCCAGCATCCACCAAAAATGCCCTGTGAGAAACAGCTAAAACTCCATTATCATATTTATACCTCGAGTCTCCATCTGTGACATAGGGATATAACCCTGACTTTACAGGATTATTATAATCTAGGAAAATAATATGACCTCTCAGGATTACTATGGAGATTAAACTACTTGGTTAATAATTGTTACAAACCTCTTAGAAAGCTATCAATTACCATGCAGAAGTGAGAGGTTTATAGAAACTTCTGAGTTTTGCCTTTTACACAAGGAACCACTTGATCAACCTCCATTGGGGTTGGAAGATATGGGAAACCTCCTGTGGAGTGAGTCTATTTCAGTCAGATAGGGTTGTGACTTCTAGCTCTACTTGCCGGGTTCAACTACAGATTAGTTATCCTAGCTCTAGTTTCTCAACCACCCACACAAAATACAGCCCTGACTTCTTAGATGGGCTAAAGAGAAACCATTTTTACCACTGGCAGCAGAGGCTGTTTGGGACCTACTCATGAAGGTGTCATACTAACACTGTGTGAACCAGTAACAGCCAAGAATGTGCTTCAAGAAGAAAGATAAAGAGGCACCTGAGTGGCTCAGCTGGTTAAGCTCTGTCTTTGGCTCAGGTCACGTTCTCAGGGATCTGGGATGGAGCGTTGCATGAGGCTCTCTACTCAGCGGGTATCTGCTTCTCCCTCCCTCTCTCTCTCTTTCTCAAAGAAATAAATAAAATCTTTTTTTTTTTTTCAAAAAAGAAGAAAGATAAAACTTGTGATGATTTTACTTTGAAAGAGATCTTGACTTAAAACCATACAAATCTTTATATTTTTATCTAGAATGGGTTTCTTGGACCTTCAAAGCCTGCTGTCTTCTTGGATATTAAGGCATGGTGTATACCTTCTTTCACTACTTTGCATGCCGAATCTTCCTAGAATATTAGAGGTCTACTTGATTATATATAAAGGTAAATAAATTCTAGATATCTGAGGGACATTGAATTATGGGGAAATGAGGATTTCATAATTCCTGATCAGATTATCAGAGAAGAATAGTATTGAAGAATATCCTGACATTCACTTTATTTTACAGAGTGGGGAACTGAGACCTGAGCTTAAAGCCACATACTGGAGTTATGGCAGATCTGAAATGCAGACCTGTGGATAGTGTATGCACTCTACCATTGTGTCCCTTTCCCTCTGTCATTCATGCTATCAGCACTAGTCAATCAGAAGGTGCCCTTTCTTGTAACTACCCTGTCTTGCCATTGTTCTCTAGGAATTAATAAATCAATAGCATCCCATATTTTAATCTTCTTCCTTCCTTCCCAGGGTGTTCTCATGTTTCCTCCTCAGGTTTCAGGTCAGTGCTGTGAACTAATAGGCCTTTAACTCAATGGGCCACCTGCAGTATGTTCTATGGCCTATAGCCAGCGTGCATGCGCCAGACAGAAGAAAGAAGAGACTTCATCATGGGGATAGGAAGAATGATGCCCCCTGCCAACCATCTCTGTGGTGGTGAGGCTGATGACAGCATGCAGAGCACACAACTCTGGCTGGATGCCAAACATCTGGGCTCAAAACCAAGCAACCAAGTTGTTCAAATCAAAGAAAAACTAATCAACAAATATTTTCAGTGCCTACTATGTGCATTCAGACAGCTGTGGTTAGAATGGATGACATTTGAGTCTTACTCAACCCCCCAAATTCCACTGCTCTCTGTCCCAGATGCCTGATATTATATTAATCAAATATTCATGTTTTCAACTGAGCATCTGTTGGCATATGTTGATGTACAGACAAAACCAAAAGTAATGAATTATTTCTTTAGTACATTAATGGTGCTTTTGTCAAGCCTCATAGAGTAAGACTGAGAATAGTCTACCTCAGGCCATCGGCCATTTCTAAGATTGCCATCCCTCTTGCTGTCTCCTGCTCTATCAGAATGCAGAGAAGCTAGGAGTGCCATGTTTCCTCCCACAGCTCCAGGGAGATATTCAGGTGAGGACACCACCAGAGGCAACATCTTTCTGAAATCACTGGTTGCCTCTAGGCTCCAAAGCACTCAATGCCAAGAGGGAACCCTGTGCATAATTTGGCATCTGTGGTGCTCCAAGAACAAAGGATATAATATCCCTTTGTTTCTGGACATCCTAAAGTTAAAATGACATCTTGGCTGACAATTATGATTCTGCATTCTTTTATAAATCATGTTATTTCTGAAAGAACTTAAAGCAGGTGAATGAACATTCAGTTGCCTCGTTTCTGGCATTTCTCCTATGAGGACTGTCAGGGCCTTTACTAATATTACCACCAAGTATTGCAGCCATGAAATGAATAAAGTCAAGGGATTTGCTATTAGCATGCTTTAGGCCATTTACTGTTTTCATTCTTCAATAAGAGGAAACAGCCACTGAGGTGAAGATGGGAAAACCTCTCCATATGTGATGGCGGTCTCTGATTTTTCAAGGTCCCCTGGCTATTGTCAAATAGGCTTTGTACACACTTCAGTTAGCATAATCATGCTTGTTGTCTTCCTTGCTTTCACAATGACCTCTAAGCTACTCAAAGTCATCAGGTTCTTCCAGGGGCCTCACTCCTCATGGCACTATGGCACCAAGGACAAGGACTTGCACAATAATTAAGACAGGGAGTTTATGGACAAGCAAAGAAGGAACCACTGAAGCCAGACTTGCTCATAACATTCCCAAAGGGAATTAGACATGTGAGAATCTGGAAATTTGGGTGTCTATATCCTGGAGCTCCTTCTTTAAAAGTGTGAAATCAAAGACCCCGTTGGTCATTTCCCTTTTGAACTCACCCTGCCCACTAGAGATGGTGACTTCTGTAGCTGGTCTGCTCCTGGAGCCACCAGGTTTTCTTACTGTCTGTGCTTACCTACTTAAGAAAAAGTACATTAGGAAGTGTTTTTCTCAGGAATGTCACCTCTAAATCTCAGCTTCCTTTCCTAAGTACATGAATAAACCTGGACAACCTATGGGAAAACCAAAAATTTCCATATCCAGGGACTATGCTGTTCTGGACAATACTCTGGATAAAATTAGAAAAAAGATACCCCACTGATGCACCTTACAGACACATGGCTTGATGAGTGGAGCCAGGGCTGGATTTTGATCATGCTGACTTGCCTCCTTGGTTTGTGGAAATCTGGTAGTACTTTCTCACCCTTAAACCCAGAAGCTGGATCAGATTCTGAATGGTCTACCTCCTCTCCTCTGAGCTCCTCTCTGACTCCCTTCAGTACAGAAAATCCTCCAAGGCTCTAGTCAAGAAAGGCTTCCCAAACTGCTTCATCCACAACAAAAGTTTCAACTCCGAAGTCCAAACTCCTTTTATATTCTCAACCCCACTCCCAGCTCAGTAATGGTCTTACAGAGGAGAAAGACTTTGGGAGAGGGTGGAGCATATCCATATCTCCTCTTGCCTCAATCCACATCATACTAATTTAATTGCTTGCACTCTTAACCTTGTTCTACCTTTCCCATCTGACTCTTTACAACAGGGGTTTTCCACTAACTCAATGTTTTTGTTACCAACTTTGCTTGTCTGCCTGAAAATGGAAAGACAAAAATTCTAAAGCTACGCTGCCTATACTCTGCCCATGCCAACTCCTCTGTGGAATTTTGTTACATGTTACCCAAAGATGACCCTAGCCTACAAGCTGGAGTTTCTTTACTATTGAAGAACTATTTCTGCAAAAAACTTTGAAGTTGTCATTTTCATTTAAAAAATAAGATGATAAAACACACACACAAGCCATTATTTGTAAAATGCCTACAGATGATGAAGAGGAATGCATATCAATATATATACATGCATGCATATGAACAAGGGAGCACATATGTATGTGTCTACCCATGGAGGCCAAGTGAAACTTTCAACTGGAGAGTGGTTAAATACTAAGGAAAATGACAGGAATCAAGAGTGATTTCAAATTTCTTGTAGCTTTTCCTTCCACCACTCCCTCCAGACTAAAAAAAAAAAAAAAAAAATGTGTTTTCAGAATTCCATTTAAATTTGATACTTAAATTAGCTTTGAAAAGCAGTCACATGGGTGGCAGATATGCAGGGGTTACCAAGCAGGGGTCTCATTGTGGTATGAGAATGATTGCTAGCTAGAAAAGGGGATTTTCTAGTCCTCTTCTGGTATTGCTTAGCTAAATAAAGTCTGACACCTCTGCCCCTCAGTGCTTTATATCTTAGATTCTTTCCAGGGTTTACTAGTGTTCTGTGGTTATATTACTTAAAAGTTATGTGGATATTTAGAATAATGACTACCATGTCCATGATGACCACCAATGCCACCACCATTATCATCCTGATTTCCTTTCTTTCTAGAACAATTTGCAATTGCCCAGTTATACCTGTACCTTAAGTGGTGAACAAAAAATTGATTTCCTAAGTTTGCAAGGAAGAATAGAGATAGAATCTTTAGTAACTTAACCAATAAATCTGGGTGGTGCCAATTTCAAACTTCACAAACGCCAAAGAGCCCAGTACAAGACTCTCTCTAATTCTAATGATGGAAGCCCCTTCTAACTGGGTTTCCACAGTAGCTGTCAAGGGTAATGATGGAAATTCCAATAAAAGCTTAATCTTCAGAGAGCTTGAGCTCTGCTTATGGTCCCGAATTTGGGCCAGGTGCTTTTCAAATACTCCCTAACCTAATATTTTGGGACTACATTTAGTGCTCAGTGTGTCTTTCTTTTACCATGAGGATGCATGCAACTGTTTATACTGCATATAACTTATGAGACTGGACATGTCATTCATCCACTAAACAAAAAGATAGACTCAGCTTCTTAACCCAAAGAAATAAGACCTTACATATATATAGAACACGTCATGAATTTGCATGCCATCCTTGCACAGGAGCCATGCTAATCTTTTCTGTACCGTTCCAATTTTAGGATATGTGCTGCTAAAGCAAGCACAAGATCTATTTGAGAGACAGAATGATAAGTGGTTAAAATCACAGGTTTTGGAATCACACAGACCAGCAATAACTTTAATATCTATGTTAAGAGAGGGTAGCACCTGAGAATACCCAGATGTGTTTTTTGTACAGATTATTCTTCCCTTACCTCACCGTATACAGTTGTTGGCACATAGATGGACTCAATAAATATTTACTGAACAAAATTAATCCATTCTCATATTGAACAAATTTACTTTCACTTATATGGGACTCCATAATTTTTAAGTAATCTGATACTGTGTTCCTTGCAATTTCTTTAAGGTAGAGTTTGGGGTTTAAGATATTGGTGTCTTTGTCCCACCTCATCTATAAAGCTTCCCTGACAATTCCAGTCTACCCTACTCTCTTTTTTCTGACTCCATTATACTTATTCCAGGTCCCACTCACTTTGGCACATACGTGATATCTTATCTTGCCATGTAAAATGTGTTTCATAAACACATCATCCTTCCTAAGAGCCTATAAGTTCTTCAAGGGCAGAGGCCATATTTGATATTTATTTTGTATATCCCACAGCACGCAACACAATATAGAGCCCATAGCAGGCTCTGAACAAGTACCTGTTAAATTGAGTTGCATTTTAAGGACAGCATTCCATTGCCAGTGATGATTTTATTTCAGAGAATTATCAAAAGGCTGTATTCACTACTCATTTCACCCAAATTAAGCCCATGGGTCCCTACACTTGAAGTGCTAGTTAGGAAGCAAAGGATCAGAAGGCAGCTGCTTACTTTCAACAAAGAAGTGATTGCATTTCAGCAACGGATTGCAGGATTTCACATATTAGTCACTAGCAGCTCCTAGACAAACCCTTTCGTGTTATCAAGTATAAAAAGTAACCAAGAGACATGTCAAATATCAATTTCCAATTACTTTTCTGTAATGCATTTCTGCTACTTGGGATAATTCCCAAGGGATCTGTTGCCCCTTATCAGCTCAGATCAGGCTTACCTTTCAAACAGGTAACACTCCACTTGGCAGCACACTGTTCAGCCTCAATATTAAAATGTCCTTCTCTGACACTCACATTCTCTTGTGAAGTCTTCAATATTGGCTTACAATGTCACTGGAGACCTGGCCCAAATGTGGAAGGCCTTCTGATATTATACCCTGAAGTATTTGCATTGGAGTGGGATGGCGCTAATAAACACCTGTGGTGAGCTGTTGTCACTAAGGTTTCCTAAGCCTTAACTCACATTGAGATGTTCAATGTGGGCACAAAGACTCGTGCAGCAGTGCAGCACTTTTGCACTGTCAACTCCAGCCAAAGGGGAAAGAAATAAGAGAGTCTTAACTTTGATACTCAAAACACAGAACAACATTTCTACTCTCCAGATCACAGAAAGCAGGCCACAAACTAATTGAAAAAATCTTTGGTATTAGGGATGTTAAAACTGAGGATCTGCAAAAAAAAAAAAAAGCAGAAATCACATGTCCCCTTTATTACAAAGTAATGGGAAAGTATTTGGAAAAACCAGGAAACATCTCTGGGTTCATAAATCAGCCCAGTTGGAGGGAAACGCAAATGGCCAGCACCTGGAATGAGCCTTCATCTGGAGCAGGAGAGCAGCGTAAGCTGTGCACTGTGATTAATGACTTGAGTGAAAGGTCTCAGTTGAGGCTGAACAATTAACTTGTTCTCTCCACATCTCAGAACTCTCCACAGCATAACTATGTCTTCCCTGATTGTTCATATTTACTAAAATTCAAGCCAGTCTGGGAAGCTTCGAACATGTCATCAGACTGTTTTTGACTATCGGGAAAGCCCTGGTGTTTGACAGGACTACTTTCATCAAATCATCTGGGTTGACTCCACATGCACGTCTCAACCTTTCAGTTCCTTTTCAAGTTTAAGAACCATCTTAAATGAGGCAATGGCATTGGCCTCGATCTGTCGAAGAAAAAAAAAGTCAGCTCAGAGGATTGCAAATGGACAGCATATGGCCTGGCTTGTTTCTGGTCATTCCCAAAAAAAGTTCTTAGGGAATTGAATGTCCGTGAGATTAATGGTTCCCTCCTGTCCTGCCTTTATCCTGTGGAATAGGTTTCTCTAATCTCTTTCAGGCCCTCTCAAGCATTTACATTAAACCAATCACTCCTCCTGAATCTACAAACAAGACTCTGATAAGACCTACTAGAACTTAAAGAAGTTTCCAAACCTCCTTCCCTTTCTCCTGGAGGTGAATGTTTAGATGGGAAAGAAGGACAGGTATCTCAGAAGTTCCTGTTGTATGTGGAAGTACCCAAGGAATCTGGTTGCTTCATTTAACCTTCTAAACCTGTTTTATTTGTGACAAATGGATGTACCAAATGTGGATATGGCCCTGCACATAGTAGGATTGGAAGGGTACTGAGTGCTTTGGCTAAGTAGTTCTGCCACACTGGCCTGCCATAAGAGCTGTCCTTTACCTCCCCTCTTGCCCACCCCATCCACAACTATTTTTATCAGTGAAGACTCCTGCCCCCAGAAGATACATCAAAAACAACAGTAACAACAACAATAACAGTATAGAAGCAGGAGCAACAATGACATGTATATGGTATTACTATGAGTCACAAACTTTCTAAAACACTTCACTTGTATCAACTCATAGGATCCTCACAACAATGCCACTAAGATCTGTATTACTACTATAGCCAATTTACAGAGATAGAAGAGTCAAGTAACTTGCCCAAGATCACAAAGCCAGGAAGTGGCAAAGCCAGGATTGAAACACAGGTCTCAGGTTTAAGTTCTTCATGCTATCCTATAAGGTCCTATATGGCAACTACGCTCTCTAGAGGTAGTGGTCCCCATCCACAACTGCTGATGAGGTTAGGGAAGCAAGCCTTCTAGCATAGCACCTACTTTGGAGTCAGGCTTCTTGAGTCCTGCTTCTGCTCCTCAGTGTGTAACATCCAAATGAGTTCTGAGTCTCTGTGCCTTAGTTGTCCTCATCTGTAAAATCAGTACCAACTAAGATCTACCTTATAAGGTTTTTGTGAGAATTGGTGAGATAATGTATATGTAGTACAGCACACTGCCTAGAACATGGTAGTTGCTTAATAATCATAGCTTTGGTTAGTATAAATCTGATTAGTTAATATTACTAAAGCAGCTAGAAAAGATGAGCAGAAACAATCACAGCTTGGACTATAGGTATGGAAAAGCAAGAGACTAGAATACTAGGATACTAAAAAATACTGGAGATGGATACCTACCTTCCTGCTCTGACCCAATTTAAACAGCCTCTAGGTTAGCTTATCTACAGGAAAGAAAAAATTCTAATTTTAAAAATATACTACATCAACAAAACAAAAAACAAACCAAACCAAAACAAAACAAAAGATGTCCAGACTGAGAGAATTAGATTCTCCCTGAAATTCCACGTGCAAAAGCAGGACAGTGAGGTATCCTTCATAGCCTCTTGTGGCTGCTCCAGCATCAAGCCTGGAGCTGCATCCTTCATTCTGCATTTCCTACATGCTCCTGCCCACCCCTGACACATCACATTCTTTGCATCAATACCGACTGGCGCCAGAACACACTAAATTGCCTTTGACTACATTTAACTGATCTAGTATTTTTTTATGATTCTTTCTTGTTGTACCATTTTTCACTTTTGACTTTATAATTCTCTGCTGACTTTAAATAAAGCGTTGCCAGACTACCCAAGGTGGTTTTTAATAGAGATTTAGGGGCTAGGTTGTGCTGTGGTTTGGATTCAGATTCTACTCCAGCAACAAGGGGAAATTAACTAGGTGGTTTCATCTCAAGTGCCCATTTATACTCGGAATGGACAGAGAGTTTATCTTCTTCCAAGCCTTGTAATCATGACACGACAAAGTGATTTTCAAGAAATTAAAAATTAGGTAGCAATAGCTTCTTTACCACAAAACCACTACACAGTGTCCCTGTCAGCCAAGATGACTGGGATCTACAAAGACAGCAGGAGGATCACTTGCTGAGTGGCAGGGAGGAATTTAACCACATTCTGTCCGATGCCAAAGACAATGCTTATTCTCCTTAAGTTGGGGAACTCAAATGACCCTACACCAGCTACGGCAGCCTGCCTCCAGGCCTCCTCCCTCCACCGTGCTGTCCCTCGTCCCCACTGTCTTCTGCCCAGATGAGACACTGGAAGCCAGCTGGCCTTTAATCACTGGGAAAGGTGACCTGACTAGCAAAAAACCCTGAGTTAGATAAGCAGTCAGTCCGCAAAATTAACATTGCCTTTTTAGAGGAGAATAACCTTAAGTTAACTACATCTTGAAAATCTAAAATGAAATAAAATGAAACTGAGTATGATTTTGGCTTTGTCTTGCTTTTCATGATTAAGTAATGCTTGCTTCATTACAAAGGGATAGACATAACATATATAAACTACTGAGAATGGAGGTTTTAAAAATATCTGTGTACCCATCACCAAGCTTACAAATAAATAAATCTCTTCAGTTGTTCCTCTCAGGTCTGACTTCTTTGCCTCCACTTACTGCCAGTGGTAAAAGCAACCTTGAACTTTGAGTTTTTTATTCCATGGTTTTCTTCCTCATTTTGCCACCTCTGAAAGAATCCTTTTAAAATATTGTTTTAATTGGCATTTTTGGACTTTATATAAATGATCTCATTCAGTTTCTTTCTCTCCCCATTTTATAAGTTCATCCATGGTGAATGTTACTCAACTTTATTTAATAAACTATTTGGGTTATTTCCAGTTTTTCTATTTGGTTTTGTTTTGCTCTTACAGACAATAGTGTGACTATAGTTCAAATTGATCTGAACATGTTCAATAGCTTGTCCTGGGTTAGTGTCCTGGGAAGAGAATTACTAAATTTTAGGGCTTGCATACATTCACTAGATAATAACAGATTTCGTTCCATAGCAGATAAGCTAATTAATACTTCCACCAAAATAGCTTTTGAGTTTCTGTTGCTCTACAGCTTTGTCAGCACTTGGTAGTGCCAGATTTTTAAATT